AGTGTCTAGTGCCTCGTACCCAAATAGGTCGGTGAGGGTTCATGTGCGACCACTATCAATCAGCCACCCGGCCGAGCGCTCCCCACCAACTACAAACACTGCATCGTCTTGACTGCTCTTCTTCGCAGCAGGACAGTCCCGCTTCATGTAACCTACTTGGTCACAGTTGAAACACTTGCCCTTGAAACCAACGTTCCGTTTCGGACCGTTCCATTTTCGACCGTTCTCTTGGCCGTTCCGGAACTTGCCTGCGTTCCCATACACTTGGAGCGCCTTCTCCATGGTTTCCTTCTTCTTGAGTCGCTCGTATTCCTTCAACAGCTTTTCCTTGACCTCGATGAGCGTCACACCCTTGGCGTTCTCCACGATAGATGAAATGAGCTCGTACTCAACGGGGAGGCTGCTTAGCAGCACCACCAGCTGGCGTACCTCGTCCATGGACTCTCCCAGCGTCTGCAACCGGACGATCAGCTCGTCAAACGCATCCAGATGCTTGGCCATAGTCTATCCACTCTCCATCTTGAACTCGTGGAGGCGACGCGTCATCGTCACGCGGTTGTGGAGCGTGGTGCGTTTGTAGAACTCTCGCTGCGTTTTCCAAGCTTCTATGGAACGAGTGGCCGACCGAATCTTGGTCTGATGCTGGAGTTCCACTCCCTGAGCGATGATGCCGAGCGCCTTGGCATCCGTGACGAGCCACGCCTCGGTGATCTCGGTCTCAGACTTGACGGCCTGAATATGCGCAAGCTGGCCCTTCCTGGCTAGCGTCATGGTCGTCGTCATGTTTTGGAACGTTCCGGTAGAGTTGAGAGTTGCGACTGTTAACCTGCTGTTATCGTTAAAGGCGAATGCCAAAGTGAGTAGATTAAAGTCAATTTAACCTGTCGTCCAAACTTCTACTCTAGCGTTGTCCTCCTTGTTGGCATCCTGTCAATCTTTCCTGGCCATCCACCAGATTATCCGGTTTGGGAACGGTCCATCCTGGAACTGTCCATATTGGAGCGTCACGCCGGTTAGCCGAACCGTGCAGAGTCGGTGAACAACAACAAAAATAAACCCGATAAGCTTTATTAGTTTTTCTGGCATAATAGTCAGAGAAAGTATTAATAGTGTTATGGCTATAGCAGTAGCATAAATGTTGTCGTTATCGTGTCCACAGGATATTAGAGAACGTCGCTGTTGGAATAGCGTGGCTGTGAAACGACGATATTTCAGATAAAATCCGAATAAATCCAGTAATCTGTCTCAATGAAGAACACCGAGAAACTTATATGTAGCCTTCAATATGTTATGTGGCTGATCTTGCGTCAACTTACTATTCATATGTAATGGCTCCCTGTAACCTCGCCTTTATCTTTTATATTGCATACATATATTCATCAGGTGCTCTTTATTGAATCGGAATACTGTAACATAGATTCGTTCCAGTAAGTAGTCGAAATAATATGTTAGATCAAAGGAATTGACCCTTTTCTGACAAATATTGTTCCAAACCCTGAAGTATCTAGATAGTAGAGATCTTTAGTTTTAGCAGCTACAGTCCGCTTTTATCACGAGAAATAACGTTGGAGACTTCTAACAAAGAACTTATACGAATTCGCTTCGACGTAGAGCTCTACCAGCAGCGCATCCACGCTCAACACAAATCCGAAATAGTATGCTCAGCGACAATGATACTGACTCAACCCAATACTATTAAGAGTAGCCAACGATACATTGTCTTGTGGACAGATACACTGCTAAATGAAGCAATAAATTTTGCATTTATGAAAACTGTCAATATGTAAAATTGCTGGAAGAAGGAATGTGTGGGGCGTACCTATATTGCCGGGCTCAATTTCTAGAGGGAGGAATAGGGGGTAGGGGGGGGGGCAGGCTGTTTTTTTTAACCGGACTTCAAATGATCATTGGCCTAAACAACATTTCGTAGAAAAAAGTATTGGTGATATCAATGTTAAAATTACCGATATTAATAGCTACCGTAAAAATAGAATTGTATTGGTGATATCAATGTTAGAATTACCGATATCAATAGCTACCGTAAAAATAGAATTGTTGCCAAAGACTTATTTGCTGGGATTAATAACTTATTCCGAGCTATTGCATAAAAGACTTGCACTGTTCTGTTTAGAAAATGCATACATTTTCGAATTGTTATATCGGTGCCATCAGGTACATCACATATTTAGCGAGTTAAACCACCTTTATCCCGAATCTCATGTAATCACTGATGATGCCTTTTTTTCGATCTCATGTAATCACTGATGATGCCTTTGCTTTTGTCAAATCTCTTGCTGTGACTCCGCGGCGGAGTGACTACAGGAGATTTGACATGAACATAGTCGTCATCAATGATTACTTGAGATTCGGAAACGCGGAGTCCACCCCTTGGAACAACTCGCAGAAAAATTAACCTGGGAGGATAGTTGCGACAGCCTCACACTGAGAATTAATCTCTGTGAGTCATATCGATTAATTCGCTTCCAAAACGATTTGCTGTAGCGCAGTCACCTCTCAATCAACATAGTGACACACTACAAAATAAAGTTTGTGATTTTCGCAGCTAGATACGCATCTAATGAGCAATGGAAAGTGGCAGCAATTGAGACACAAACAAAATCAATCCCGACATTTTTGAACTCAATTTGCTATACGTTCGAAAAATATTTGATTGGTTGTCTTTTCATTCGCATATTGATTAATATTCTTAGCTGAGGTGGACGGTTCATGGATCAGATAGACTTCTCAGGTATTCTTTAATTCGATAATACTGATTTTTGTATGTTTTACAATTTGGTTTAATTCTCTTTGATTTATCCTTTTTGTGATGCGTTTACTCCTCACTTATCGGCTACGTCCTCCAAATATTGATCGATGCAATATCGGCTTCTCAAAGTTGTATCAACTGTGAAAATATTTGCTAATTGGTAAAAAGCAAGGCCCAATGCACATCACCTGATAATGAACCCGCTTAGAATAGTAAACACTGCTGCGGACTAGCTTCGCAATTACCGTGTAATTGTGTGCATGGGGCTCAGTAGCATTACTGTCGCAAGACCCGGGGTTTTCTTCCGATGTGGAAAGTTTATTAATGAAAGAAAAGCAAACAAACAAACTCGCTGACCTGAACTAACTCTCCTTGTGTCTTCATCCAGGCTCAACGATTATGCAGTCGAGGACACGTGCCCGTGCCCACTCGTCATTCATGCAGCGTGCGCCAAGGCCAATGCAGCGCAGTGGCGTAAGCATTCTCTTCATCGAAAGGCACTATGACGCGTGCCTTACAGCTTTCACTCGCGCCATTGGCTCATGCCAGCACGCTATCGTGGTCATAGCTTGATCAACGGCAGTAATCCGGCTGAGAGTGCCTCGCAAAGCTTGGACACGATAGGAACATTTAACTAGTCGAGTTGTCCGCAGATTTCATCATCTTCAGCCGTAGTAGCGACGTAGTTGCGCACTTTAACAGGTACATCCTGAACAAGCGTAGCGAGCGGCGTCCTCGAGTTTTCAATCGCCTGAAGTCCGACCCAGGCCACCATCAGCTCCAATTGTCCGTATTCGTGATTGAAACGATGATCCACGATTCGTTCGACACCCAGCATCATACCTTAACTCGAAACGAGTTCTAGTAGCTCCTCCGTAGTGTTTAGGGCCGAATCAGCATAAAGCTTTAGTCTCGAAGCATGCACGTCATAGACACGTCCCGTCACTAAGTGTTTGACTTCGAACGAGTGAGGCAGCGCCCTCACAATCTCCAACGGGCCAACCTATTAGCCTAGAAGCTTGCGATTGGGGAGTCGTTGGTTGATTCTTGACCAAAGCACGAAGTCGCCCACATCAAAGTTCACCGACGTACCTTTGTGAGCTTTCATGTCCTGCAGCCGCTTGCGCTCTTTAGTGTCGTTCACCTCGCGATGTAGGTCCTGTAGCGAAACGCGTAGACTGCCCAGTTTGTCGCTCATATCACCAAGTTCCACGACCCGCTCAACGGAGGTTTCAGTGGCTGGAACAACCAATACATCCAACGCTGATGAGGCCGGCAGTCCGGTGAACACTTCGACTGGCGAATGACCTGCAAGTGATCTCACAGGCGCTGGATCCCGAGTCCGTCGGTAGCGCACCTCGCTGGCTTCGCTTCTGGTAAGCCACGCGTACGTCACTTCTTTTGTAGATACCGTGTTTCAGCGGGAGCCCATTCGCTACGAGGTGAACCTTGTGCCCAAAACCTTGTCTCTTTTTACCACGCTTCAATGCAAATACCGAGCGATAAAGTCCCAGTACTAGCTACGAAATATGAAAAACAATCACTCAAACCTTGGCCCATGAGACGTTCTTCTTAGTGTACCGCAACAACACATTTACACAACTTCCAGACATGCTGTACTGCACTAAAGTTTTCAAATACAAAGCGCTGTCGAGATTTTTTTAACCTCTGTAATTGTCAGCCGAATTACGGCCGTTGATCAAGCTATGCCCACGACAGCGTGCTGGCATGAGCCAATGGCGAGAGTGAAAGCTGTAAGGCACGCGTCATAGTGCCTTTCGATGAAGAGAAGGCTTACGCCACTGCGCTGCATTGGCCTTGGAGCACGCTGCATGAATGACGAGTGGGCACGGGCACGTGTCCTCGACTGCATAATCGTTGAGCCTGGATGAAGACACAAGAAGAGTTAGTTCAGATCAGCGAGTTTGTTTGTTTGCTTTTCTTTCATTAATAAACTTTCCACATCGGAAGAAAACCCCGGGTCTCGCGACAAAGCTAGCTTTGCGCTCTCTGAAGTGTGAGGTTGTTGATCAACCTTTCTGGACGCTGTCTACCGTCCAGATCGTCATCTTTTCCACGCGCTACTGGATATTGCGCGCCAAAGTCCGATCGGCTTCGACTAAGTGCGGTTTTGGGCGACTGACATAAGCTCGACTTAAGTTCGTTTGAAGTGTTAAGTTCGAACAACTTCAAGATGGTGGGCTTCCCTGTTGACGCTGACGGAGACGTAGATATGTCAATCCCTCAACCGAACTTTGAGGTCATTAAGGCTCCAGAGCTGACCAGCTGGGAGCACGCTGCTCTGATTGAGTGGCATCGTGAGTGGGAGCGTTACGTGGAAAAGATTCGCCACCGATGCTCCACCACGGGTGAGACGTAGGACAATGTTGCTGCAACTGTCAAGGGCTCGGTGAGACGGCAGACGCTTAATAACCTGGCTAAGTACGTACCCAAGAAGCCTATTGCATCGGTAACCGACGCGGACATCATGAGTGTTGTCGAAGCACGCTGTCGTACACTCAAAAACGAGTTCGTTCCTGACGTCTCGTCGCTGTTCCGTGCGAACCTAAGGATGAACATGACAATTGATGACTGCGACGCACGCATCTTCCGCTACTATGAATATTTTTATCGGGATTGTGGAGGACAATGGGCTACAAGGGCTGATTGGGAACGAGAATGAAGCGGACGCAGGCTACAAGAGTAGAATGAAGGCCCGTTGCCGACTACTGGTTGAAAACTTGCAACCCCCAGTCCTCAAGGCTCAGATCGGTCGCCTTATCGATTTAGAGAGGCGTGACTGCAAATCTGATGATGTCGCCCTTTTCGACCTGATTCTGGAGCATGTAAAGATACAACAGCGGTTTCATCCAATTTCACAGGATTATGCGGGAAAGCAGGATTCTAAAACTATCAAGCCAGAAAAGAAACCACGACGTGGTGCTCCGACCAAGCCCACGTCAGCACCCTCGCCGGCGCCCACGACGACCACTACTGCGACGGGACCTTGCCCTACGCGCTCTCCCCCTCGTGATGGCTGTCTGTTCTGCAAGGGAGAACACTGGCTCAATGATTGCCCCACAGCCACGGACGCACAGCGCGAAGAGGCCGTGAAGAAGTTTCGCGCGGCTAAAGAGCGGCGTTCGGGGCCGGTGCGGTCAAAGGCAGCCCGTTATGCGACGCCTGCCGGTTCTGTACGTATCAACGAGCTCCTAGATGTTCCCTATACACCCGATACCGGCGCCGCCAAGAGCGTGGTTCCGGAGAAAATAATGGCTTCACTCCAGGTGGTGCAACCTACGCTAGAGACTACTCCACTGAGTACGCCTGTTGAAGCTGTTATGGCTGACGGCAGGGTCCAATTGTTCAAACAAGAGGTGAAATTGGATCTCGAGCTAACTACAGTGGCCGACCGTGCTGGGTTCTATCTGGCGAAGGTGATGAGTTTCTATTGGGCCGGGATGACCTCAAGGGGCTCGGCATCGACGTGGAGCAACAACTCGCTCAACTGGCGGGATCCCCACTGCCGGAGGCAGAGCCTGACGAATTTCCTGTAGGTGCTGAGTTTTCGGACCTAAATAGGCCAATCGACTCACCGGAATCTCTTCTCGACCGAGCGGTGGCCAATGGGTAGCCGAGTGAACATGTCGGTACGGTTAGTGACTTGCTGGATGAGTTTTCAGACGTCTGGCGTGATGCGGTTGGTCCGGGTCCCCCTGCCAATGTGGCGCCTCTACGCGTGTCGCTGAAGGTGGACGCAACGCCCTACAGGAGCCCCGCACGCAAGTATGCGCCTTTGCAAGCCGAATTCATCCGTGACTATGTGCAATATTTGGTTGATAATGGGCTGGTAGAGCAGAATAACGCATCTCGCTGGGCAAGTGCTGTAGTGCCTGTGCGCAAGCCGGGGACCAAGGACGAGTTCCGGATGACCATTGACTATAGGGTCGTCAACAGAATGACAGTCCCCATTGCTGGTACGATGCCTAGTGTCGCCACTACGACCGACGCCTTCAACGGTAAGAAGTTCTTCGGACGTTTTGACTTCACTAAGGGATTCTGGCAATTACCTCTACATGAAGAAAGTCAAGAGATATTTTCTTTTATTACGCCCGATGGTGTATATACACCTGATCGAGTCCACCAAGGAGCGATGGACTCCGCCTTGCATTTCCAGAGCCAGGTCCAGACCAAACTAGCCCCGCTAATACCACATTGGGCCCTTGTGTGGGCTGACGACGTGATTTTATTCGCACCAACAATACATGACTTCCTACAGACGCTTCTAAAGTCCTTCGAGATCGTCAGTGCAGCCAACTTCAAGCTCAACATGCTCAAGTCGTCGTTGTTCGAGCTAGAGATCAAGTGGTTTGGCAAACTAGTTTCGAGCGACGGATTCGCCATGATCCTGCGCGCGTGGACGCTTTGGGGGAGCTTCCGCTCTCTGCAACTGTGGCAGATCTGCAGTGGTTTGTATTTGCAACGAACTGATTGCATGACTCGCTTCCGGACTACGCGCGCACTGGGGCCCCGCTTCATGACAAGTTGGAGGCCGAAAAGAAGCGGATCGAAAGACGGAACCGAAAGGCATTACAAGTGGCTTCATCATGGGATAGTGACGAAATGGCTGCCTATGAGAATGTACTTTCGTTGGTGAGAGACTCTGCGCTGACGGCGCACCATGATCCGGACGCGGAAATGTGCGTCTTCACAGATGCGTCGCTTTCCGGGTTCGGTATCGTGGTAACACAAGTCATGCAGTGGCAACCAGGCATTCCTGTTGAGCGCCAGAGCCACCAGTTGATCATTTGCAAAGGCGGTACGTTCAAGCACTCACAACTTAATTGGACGCTGGTGGAAAAGGAGGCGTACCCGATCGTGAAGGCCTGCAACGATCTTGAATACTTACTGCTGCGACCGGGAGGTTTCCAGTTGTTTTCCGATCACGCGAATTTGATCGAGATAATTGCTCCGCATGCCGACTTGAAGAAACATGTGCGAGACCGTTTGCAGCGGTGGGCGATGCGGCTGTGTGGTCTCCACTACCGCGTTGAGCACATTTCTGGTGATGCTAATGTGTGGGCTGATATTGTGTCTCGGTGGCACGTCCGCGGTGAAGAGCAAGTTTTGGTTGCGGCTGGCCAAACACGAGGTCGACGAAACGCTCCTGTTGAAGATCTATCGGTGGTTCGCCCTCCGATGGACGCTGATTTTGTTTTTCCTACCTGGACGGACATCGCAGCTGCGCAGTCTGTAGCTGGACGAGAGAAGGCTCGACTGCGAGTCAATTTTTTGGAGGAGAATGGTGTACTGCTTGTCGATGAACGTCCATGGATCCCAAGTGGAGCTCAAGATTTATTAGCCAGAATTCTTGTGTGGTGCGCAGGGGCATCGTGGTCAAGAAGCAATGATCATCGTACTGAAGTCTCGATTCTACATTACGAAGTTAGAGGATAAGGTGGCGAAGTTCGTCCGGGGGTGCCTGCTGTGCAAGCATTTTAAAGGACCTCGACTTATTCCACTACTTACACCTACGGAACGAAACGAGCGCGTCCACTAGGACTTCATTTTCCTTGGTGATGGCTATGGAGACTCAACCTACCTTCTCGTGGTCAAGGACGGACGTTCGCATTTCTGTGAGCTGTTTCCGTGTGCTACGCCGTCGGCATACGTGGCTGCGGAGGTGCTGCTGATGTGGTACTCCCGGTATGGCCTGCCTCAGACGCTACTATCAGATAAAGGCACACATTTCCGTAATGAAATGGAGCAGCACTTGGCCACCCGATTGAAAATGGAGCTGTACTTTACGCTTGTGTACTCCCCTTGGCTAAACAGAACATTAGAAATACTGAACAAAGATGCACTCCAAGTTGTACGAGCACTCCTGATGGAATACTCGCTGGATAGCCATGAGTGGCCGTACTTACTGCTGGTAATTCAGACCAACTTAAATCATACGCCTGTGAGATCACTTGCAGGTCATTCGCCAGTCGAAGTGTTCACCGGACTGCCGGCCTCATCAGCGTTGGATGTATTGGTTGTTCCAGCCACTGAAACCTCCGTTGAGCGGGTCGTGGAACTTGGTGATATGAGCGACAAACTGGGCAGTCTACGCGTTTCGCTACAGGACCTACATCGCGAGGTGAACGACACTAAAGAGCGCAAGCGGCTGCAGGACATGAAAGCTCACAAAGGTACGTCGGTGAACTTTGATGTGGGCGACTTCGTGCTTTGGTCAAGAATCAACCAACGACTCCCCAATCGCAAGCTTCTAGGCTAATAGGTTGGCCCGTTGGAGATTGTGAGGGCGCTGCCTCACTCGTTCGAAGTCAAACACTTAGTGACGGGACGTGTCTATGACGTGCATGCTTCGAGACTAAAGCTTTATGCTGATTCGGCCCTAAACACTACGGAGGAGCTACTAGAACTCGTTTCGAGTTAAGGTATGATGCTGGGTGTCGAACGAATCGTGGATCATCGTTTCAATCACGAATACGGACAATTCGAGCTGATGGTGGCCTGGGTCGGACTTCAGGCGATTGAAAACTCGAGGACGCCGCTCGCTACGCTTGTTCAGGATGTACCTGTTAAAGTGCGCAACTACGTCGCTACTACGGCTGAAGATGATGAAATCTGCGGACAACTCGACTAGTTAAATGTTCCTATCGTGTCCAAGCTTTGCGAGGCACTCTCAGCCGGATTACTGCCGTTGATCAAGCTATGACCACGATAGCGTGCTGGCATGAGCCAATGGCGCGAGTGAAAGCTGTAAGGCACGCGTCATAGTGCCTTTCGATGAAGAGAATGCTTACGCCACTGCGCTGCATTGGCCTTGGCGCACGCTGCATGAATGACGAGTGGGCACGGGCACGTGTCCTCGACTGCATAATCGTTGAGCCTGGATGAAGACACAAGGAGAGTTAGTTCAGGTCAGCGAGTTTGTTTGTTTGCTTTTCTTTCATTAATAAACTTTCCACATCGGAAGAAAACCCCGGGTCTTGCGACAGTAATGCTACTGAGCCCCATGCACACAATTACACGGTAATTGCGAAGCTAGTCCGCAGCAGTGTTTACTATTCTAAGCGGGTTCATTATCAGGTGATGTGCATTGGGCCTTGCTTTTTACCAATTAGCAAATATTTTCACAGTTGATACAACTTTGAGAAGCCGATATTGCATCGATCAATATTTGGAGGACGTAGCCGATAAGTGAGGAGTAAACGCATCACAAAAAGGATAAATCAAAGAGAATTAAACCAAATTGTAAAACATACAAAAATCAGTATTAACGAATTAAAGAATACCTGAGAAGTCTATCTGATCCATGAACCTTTCACCTCAGCTAAGAATATTAATCAATATGCGAATGAAAAGACAACTAATCAAATATTTTTCGAACGTATAGCAAATTGAGTTCAAAAATGTCGGGATTGATTTTGTTTGTGTCTCAATTGCTGCCACTTTCCATTGCTCATTAGATGCGTATCTAGCTGCGAAAATCACAAACTTTATTTTGTAGTGTGTCACTATGTTGATTGAGAGGTGACTGCGCTACAGCAAATCGTTTTGGAAGCGAATTAATCGATATGACTCACAGAGATTAATTCTCAGTGTGAGGCTGTCACAACTATCCTCCCAGGTTAATTTTTCTGCGAGTTGTTCCAAGGGGTGGACTCCGCGTTTCCGAATCTCAAGTAATCATTGATGACGACTATGTTCATGTCAAATCTCCTGTAGTCACTCCGCCGCGGAGTCACAGCAAGAGATTTGACAAAAGCAAAGGCATCATCAGTGATTACATGAGATCGAAAAAAAGGCATCATCAGTGATTACATGAGATTCGGGATAAAGGTGGTTTAACTCGCTAAATATGTGATGTACCTGATGGCACCGATATAACAATTCGAAAATGTATGCATTTTCTAAACAGAACAGTGCAAGTCTTTTATGCAATAGCTCGGAATAAGTTATTAATCCCAGCAAATAAGTCTTTGGCAACAATTCTATTTTTACGGTAGCTATTGATATCGGTAATTCTAACATTGATATCACCAATACTGCTTTCTTCTACGAAATGTTGTTTAGGCCAATGATCATTTGAAGTCCGGTGAAAAAAATACAGCCTGCCCCCCC